CATGCTTATTCCAAATATCTAATTCACATTCAAATCATTCATCTACAACACCTATTACTACATCGGGCTTACCACTACTTGCCTGTTAACTACTACGGGCTCTACTACACTTATAATACTTCATACTAACATTCTATACACTCATACTACTACAACTACTCACTATACAATGGGTACTACTATCGGGCTTAGCCTACTAACATCACTATTAACAATTGCTAATCAACCATACAATCACTTTACTATACTGACACTCATCACCAATACTATTGCTCAATACTACTGTACTACTAGCCAACAGTCTGGTAAACATTCCTACATCCACTATACATCCTACTAATACTTATTATACAGCTGTACTGACTGTTGAATAGCCTGAGTCTACTTGGTAAGTAATGTTTCTACACTGGTCTCTACACTCTAGTAATTACTTATGCTGCGCTTTTTTGTACACTTGGTAAGTAATCCATTCACTACTGTACACTGACTCTACACTCTACTCACTAGTAAGTAGCTTGTATGTACTCTGGCAAGTACTGCTACTACGCTTTTTTGGCTACTTGAGGGCAGGTCAATTACACTTGCACTTGGTCATATTCACTGTAGGGCAGGTCATTCACACTGAACTATAGCCTGTACTACAGACCTGTACACTGTACTGACACTTACTACACTATTACATGCTTACTAGCCAACTCTAGTACGCTTTTTGCCCACTTTAGGGCAGGTCATATTTTTTTCATCGTCGCCTCTGAAAATGTATTTCGCGTTTTCTGCACTCAGTTTTGCTTTGTTTGGTGCCGTGAGACCATGGAATTGATGCCATAAACAAGGAGCACAACTTTCGTAAAAATAAGATATCGCGAGAAAGTTACTCTAATGATGTCATCAGACTGTGACAGTTGCTCTGAGTCACAGGACATCGCTTGTGACAGCCTGTGACAACCTGTGACACTGCTGACAGGTCTACTATCACCTGACTACTTGAGGGCAGGTCAAATGTTATTTCATCGTCGCCTCTGAAAAAGTATTTTGCGTTTTTCTCACTCAGTTTGGCGCTGTTTGTTGCCATGAGACCACAGAATTACTCGTACAAACAAGGACCACAACTTTCGTCAAAATAATATATCGTGAGAAACTTGTCGTAATGACATCATAGTTGTGTGACAGTCGTCTTGAGTCACGGCACATCACTTGTCACAGCCGTGATCCCATCTGTGACATCAACCAAGTCACATCAGCCACATCTCAAGGTCACATGACTATGCTTCAGTGCCTCTAACCAATCATCACTGCCTAGCGCCATCAGTTTGTATTCGTTTGTCATACTTTATGCATCAAAACGTTCGTATCGATTCACCTCATCACTGACCATGTCATTCAGGTGTACAGCCACTACCAATCTTATGTGATTCCCTTATCAGTCCTTATCTAAGATGTCTGAAAATCACTGATCATGGCCTGGCGCCGTGAGTTTGCCTTTGTTTGTCAAAGTTAGATGCTCAAAACAAAGCTACTAACTGTCCCGTGCATCTGCCATATCATTCAGGTGCACAGCTTTTCTCTAACTCTGGCAATCACACCATCTGTCCCCCCAAATGTACCCGCACTTGCCAGGCATGGATGATGACAAATACAACATTCCCACCAAGATCAGACGCTTGAATGATTGGGATTATATGTCTAGCTTTCAGGGAAAAAAAGAATTAGCCTTATCCGTCCACTGGTTCCTGACATCCAGGGCGATTTAGAAAGGCTGCTAACAGGGCATCAAGCCCGGCTCCTATGAGTAGGGTCGCGCGAAGTTCGAACACAGAGGTGTCCTCAGGTCACAGAAACTCAACTCCATAAACGAAGTTCAAATGAAGTTCGCCACTCGTCTGGCCACGGGTTAATTTTTTTCTTATTGTGTCCATCCTACCTGTCCATATTTAACCTCCATCCTCTCCGATTTTGGTCTCTCTCAAATCAACACTCCCATGTCGAGCTCAAACTTGGGTGTATGATTTACGAAGTTCGTTCACACCTTCGCTGCATGTGATATGTGGGGTGAGATGAAATGAGCCCGGTTTCGGATTAGACTAGATATGGAGGCCATTCAAGACTCACTCTTATCAATTTTGCTTGGCGAAGTTCAAAACGAAGTTCGCCACGAAGTTCGCCACTCGTCCGGCCACGGGTTAATTTTTCTCTTATTGTGTGCATTCTACCTGTCTATATCTATCCTCCATCCTCTCCGATTTTGGTCTCTCTCAAATCAAAACTCCTACTGCGAGCTCAAACTTGGCGAAGTTCACTTATATATTCGCTGATCTTCAGAAACATTGTATAGCTTGAGTCATGACTCTGATCAAGCTAAAACTATTCATCAATCCTTCCTGCATCCAACTGAGGCTATTAATTTACTGAGAAGAGCTATAGCAATTTAGCTGAGTTTATTTCTGAACTTTGTCGAAGTACGCAAACGAACTTCAACACGGTGAACCATCGATGCGAGGTTCGCCAAACTTACCAGTTTCTGGTGACTTGATGATCCTACCAGATGTACTTTGGCTGTCCATTGGTTTGTGGTTGTTGGAGAGACATCATCTTTTCAATACTCTCATCAATTTCTGCTCAGGCGAAGTTCAAACGAAGTTCGCCACTCATCTGGCCACGGGTTAATTTTTTTCTTATTGTGTGCATCCTACCTGTCTATATCTAACCTCCATCCTCTCCGATTTTGGTCTCCCTCGAATCAAAACTCCTACCTCGGGCAAAACAACTTTGCAACACTAGTTGGCACGCTCGAGCTTCGCCTGCCCAAAACAGCAACCTAATACTAGCCGGCACGCTCGAACTTTGTTGGACCTCGACACGCTCAGAAGCAAAGACAGAGGCTCGCACAATGGCCGAACCTCGCTGCATGAAGTACATGAGGCGAACATCGCTCCAAATGGCCTGACGTCACCCTCACGTCACCCTGACGTCACCCTGACATGACATGACATGACATGACGTCACCCTGACATGACATGACATGACCTTGGACCCGAGTAAGTTACCATATAAGGAAGGACATGTCAGGCTTGGCACCCGGAAAAAGGCTTTTTCCTGGGGAGAATAGACTTAGTCAAAGTTAGATGCTCAAAACAATCCTACTGATAGTCCCGTCAATCTGACATACTATTCTGGTGCACTGCCTCACTCTAGCTCTCTCGCAACTGACATCTGTCACTCCAAATGTACCCGACATCTACAGCCACCGATCATAACAAATCGCACAATCCAGGCACAATCAGAGGCTAGAATAGTTGAGACTATAGGTCTAGCTTTCAGAAAAAAAAAGAATTAGCCTTATCCGTCCACTGGTTCCCATTATTCAGAGGGATCAAGAAAGGCCGCTAACTACCCCATTGAGCACTGGGTATATGAGTAGTTTGACGCGACATACACAATCACATATACAGTGAACAATGCATGCGACATTGGTGTAGTGGTTAACACAGTGTGCACATGTGATCACCAAAGACGTCCACCTCTCCACGCAGGCCCAGGTTCAAATCCTGGATGTTGCAGAACTTTTTTGTAATCGCCGTTTTGTCGATGTGGAGGTGTTTCTGTCGGAGCACAGGCCCGACGCCGGGGTACTACAATCGAGTGACATTATGGGGCGGAGAGCAGCTCCGTGACTCGGGCTCCCGGTTGGGATTGGACACGGCAAAATGGCTCTCCGCATGGGTCCAAGATGGAAATCAACACAGGTCCCATGTTGGACAGCGAACTCTTCAAGGCCCCAACTCACTCCGGTGTCCCCTGAGGTACATGTGGGTCCAGGGACTACTGAGTATCTG